GTGTTTTTATATTCAAAATCTTCTCCACCATCTACATTATCAATAAAATTTAATGCGTGCTACAACTCACATTATTCAACGTTCCACACACTTTCGATATTAAACTGTATTACTCTTCTTTAAGTGATAAGAAAAATATACAAGCCCAGTGGGCTAGAACACTCATGAGAATATAAGCAGCGTCAACTTGATCAGAAAAGCAGGTGCCAGCGACAAGGAGACAGACAGTGAAGATAAGATCTGCTCCAGTAACACTACTTGAAGATGAAGTTATCTTGACAGACATTTATTTTGTATTTTATTGTTTCGCTGTTTATTCCATCATTGCTTTTCCACTTCATAACGACGCAGTGAATGCACACACACAAAAAACGTGTCTTCAAGTGTTCACTATAGATAATTTGTATGATAGGTTTGAGTTTTTCACCTTTAATTGTCATATCACTTTTCTCTTCGCGTTATAATTCACTTTTTATTCACCTGTCTTGTGCACGGTGCGTGCAACCACCATGTATCACCGCACATTTAGTTTAGCGTATGCTCAATCACCATGTGTGTATTGCCTGAGAAATTAAACACCTGATGATATACATCCATACAATCGCATTAGCTTTGATTACATCAAGATGTAAAACAATATAGACTATTATTAGACGAATTTTAAAGAAAAAGAGGTGCACAGATGCAGCTTAAAGCTCAGACCAAGGTCTTTATCAACGATATAATTTTAATCAACAGTTAACAAACGGAAATGCGCAGGAAGTTCTTAAAAAAAATGTTTGAGATAAGAACAAAAACATTTATCAGGAAACGTAAATATAAAGAAGAAAATGTGCGCTGGCAGAGTCAAGACCCTTTGGGAACAAGCAACGGAATCATCAGAGAAAGACGATTATTATGGCCTGGAGAGAATCAGGCACCTGGGTGTAACCAGAGGGTCTGGCCAGCTCACTACACTCAGGGGAAGGGCAAGACGGACTTTTAACCAGATTGTGACCGGTACCATTAGTGTTGTAACTCTGCGCTCGCTGCTGAAGATGAGGACGGGGCATACATTGAAAAGCCCTGAGTGCTGTGATGTCAATTCTTGACTCAACTTAACTCAACTCAAAGAAGAATTGAAACAGAAAGGGAACACAAATATACCTAAAATAATAATAAAAGGGGAAAAACCCCACACAAATGAAATCACGTCAAACTGAGCAAGATTGTATGGCAGTGTCATTGGCCGTAATCTAACTTGAGCAGCTACAGCTGTCGTCGTCTGTGGCTTAGGCGTTGCGAACGTGCTTCGTAATGCCGAGGTGACTGTTCGATTGCAGCTGCAGGTGAGTTGGCAGCAGAACGTCTTGGGCTGGTTTCGACAATGGTAGTAAAAGCTGAGCGCTCAGTAAGCAGTGGCAAACTACTGAATGTAAAATCTGCCTAACAAAAACAAAACGGGCCAAAGAAATTATGTGTTGGTTCTGGAACTTCCTGTAAAGAATACGAAACTAACTTATAGTCACAACTAATGCAATTGTTGGAGACATGTACCGTATGTACATTGTCAAAATCCGTAGGATGTTAACTGAAACGGTGCTAAACCATTCTTGGACTCCATTATGTGCTTAGTTGAATTTATTTCAGAAAAATGGTGTGAGATTCGCAAGTCTCCCTAATTTGTAATAAATTTTCGGAAACGGACTGATAGTATTTGAAAGATGAATGAGTGAATCTTATCTTATGCCTGTATTCTTCCTTTTCCAACCCACAGCTTGGTTCATGGGCAGGTAACCTAATGCTGAAGTACAGCCACAAGGAGTTTCCATCAGACATCTTTCTACTGCTGTCGACTGTGGGAGTTACTCTGAATATAGGTAACCTGTTTCCACTTAAGTATTCTTGAGTGTTGAGCTAAATGCTGACCCTGGGGAATTCCTGTAAGCGCTCTGTCCTCGTCTTCCACAGCCAGCGAGAAATTCCCATTCCAGCGATGCAAATCGCAGTTGATTATATGTCTGTCCTATTTCTCCCAGCGTAGAGTGTCGACCAAATCCAACAGGTACTCCCAGCTGCACAACGCTCTAGACCATGTCTCAGCATGTGTTCACTTGCTTCCAAAAGGCGCCCCCTACCTTATGCTTGTCACACTCACATTCACCACTCATTAGTGTAGAACTAGCCAGTCTGAACGCCTCCTCATTTCCAAACACTCACGCATACCCCGGTGTAAACATCTAAAGAAAGCTAACTACCCGAGACCTCCGAAGCGATACTTACCACTCTGCACGGAACATCCTTGTCTGTACCTTTCCTAATACGCTTAGGGAGTCGGTTACAATCACTACATGTGTGTGCAGCTGGTTTTTTAGCTGTTACCACTAAAAAAAAGTGGACACCTTTCACATAACAAGGTGTTTGAGCAGCCCGGGTAAGTTTGCCGTTCGGTAGGATCATAAGTTAAAATCAATAATCATTATAATTAATTGTAGTTACCCTGTTATTACTTTTTTATTTTGATAATTGGACTATCCATTGTGGAATATGTCGCACGAACAGTCAAACTAAAAATATACAACCACAAATATATATATTTCCTAAATGTTTCAGCTGGGGGATTGTACCCACGGATTGTTGTATGTTAGGCGGACGGACGTAATAAACAACAAAAATAGGAAATCATTTGCCAAATAGCTCCATGAAAGATACTTGTTATGTGTGTCGTATAGTCACATTTTATGATATGTCTTTGTGTATACTGATGGTCATCTGGAATACCATTATTCTGGCTTCAGAATAGTATAGAACATTATTAATGCTAGCAATTATCATGTCAGTATGTGGCTAAAGATGTTTAGGCGACGGTGAACAAAAGCTCAAATCCAAGCCTCTTGTTTCCAGTTTACCGGAATGTGATCGACAAAGCTACCGCACCTTGTTAAAAAAAAGCCACAGTTAGTGTCCTGGTTGTTAGTTATCGACGATATGTAGAAGCCATGTTTTACATAATGACCTAAACATTGCAGCCAGAGCGACATCTGCAAGTTGAACCCTCTTCTAGACACAGTGTAGGAACTAAAAGAAAACAACATTCACCGACCTGAGGCCCCTACCGCCTTCCCTTTCTTCCTGACATAAAAGTGACCGACGAAGCTACTTTCCCAAGCCATCCTCGCCTCTCGACTGTCCCAACTCTCCCCTTTGTCCCACCAAGGTGAGAAGGGAAGGTTTAGTGCCGACCTTCGGAAATTCTGGTCTAGCTATTGCGGCTCCAACTGCTGAGGTTAGGGGGGGGGGGGGAGGGAGATAACAGCGAATTAGCCCCCCACCCCCTTCTCCATTTTTTTTACCCGTTCCTCCCCCATCTCTTCTCAAAAGTATTCTTCACAGGGCGAAAAAATAGGTAGGTTCCAAAGGAATTAACTGCAGTGAGGATTATATTTTAGAGATTGTGGCGTTAATTATTAGAACAAGATAGAATCTTAGCATGCACACGTCACGCTGAATTACCAGTTACAGCCAGAATGACAACTGCAGATTTCAAATCTTTACTGGTCACTGTTTAGGAGGTGTCCGCGTGACAGAGACCAGACAGACAGTCAAACAAATTATTATATAAATTCTAACCGCCATGGTCAAGATTAATTTAAATCTTGCAATTACTGCTATTGTCAAGGTTATTTTATGTCTTGCACTAACCGCCATGGTCAAGATTATTATATATCTTGCACTAACTGCGATAGTCAAAATTATTTATTATATATATTGCCCTAATTGATAGGGTCAAGATTATTTAATTACTTGCTCTAACTGCAATGGTCAAGATTATTGTGTTACTTGCACGATCAGCCACGGTGAAGATCGTTTTGAAACTTATACTGACTACCAGCCAGTTTAGTTTTTATCAGTTGTTAATACATTTGTTGTTGGAACAAACAGAAATAGCTGATTCGGATTGTTTGTACATTTTCTATAAACCAGTCGATGAAAAGGGAAGCAACAAGAACTACTCAATGGTGGACTTTCTGTCGCTGAACATGACCGGGAAGGTGATTGTTTCCATGCAGTTGCCCAAATACAAGAGTCAGAATATCGTCATCCGCACATTCAAGACATCGCCCAGGCTGCAGGTGCGTGCGTTTCATTTTGATGATCATCAATCAGTATTGATCTTGACTGAATGTAAGACTGTAAAATTGTGTAAATGATACTGACCTCCCCTTCTTACAAGACTGCAATATAAAGGATGTTGACCTTGCTATGTTCTGACTGTAAACTGAACTGAAGGATACTGACCCTGGCTTAGTGTGACTTTAAACTGATGTTGACAATATTCACCTTGCCTGATTCTGACTGATTAAAAAAAAAAGTTAGTTGTGTATCCTTTACAGGACGTTGTAGAACTAATACCAGCATTTTTTGGCTGTTGTGGTTTTTCCAAACAAATTTTAAGTCCAGTAGTTTGCCTTTGCTTCTCGACGGTCAGTTCTCGATATCACTGTCACAACCAACGCAAAACGAAAGGTCCGCAGCTTGGATCGAACCCGACACCTCGGCATTACGAAACGCGTTCCCAACGCCTAAGCCACTGATTGTACAATGAGGACATTGATTCTTCATTTACACACTCACGCACACACATGTCACACACACACACTCACACACACACGCACACACGCCAGTTCGCTTAGATGAAAGCGACTGCTGGGTTCCTGCAAGAGAGAAAAGCGGCCAACGACAACAGGAACACCACAACAAGCCTGGTACAAGTGACAAGTTGTATTGTCACCACGAACACTGCCTAACAAGCCGGTAAGATATCACTGAAAGTAGCTTTGAAAGTGCAGTCTTGTCTATTAATGGATGAACACATTTCGACGATGAAATGGTTTTCACTGAGTGAACACTGTCTCTAAGTAAATATCCAGTGAACATGGTGACTGTCTAAAAGCGACGCTATCACAAAGTGGTGACACAAACTCGTGACTTGTCATGAATTCATATCAAAGACGCATTCGTCTGTGTGTGTCCATTCCTGTTGTAACATATATAGCATATACTAGTGGTCGAGAAATCGCGGCTCTTCAGCGACCTGAGTTCGGCTCGACCAGTTGACCACAAATCGGTTTTGTCATCGAAAAACAGACTTTGAAGGATTTTCAAAAGAATTTTGGCTCTCAAACAAAAATTGTATCATCCCTTTGCTGATTTTTGACTCTTTCGACTAAAGTTTGCGACCACTAGACAGACGTATTTGGCTATGTGTCCACTCCTGAAGTCACCTATAGCCTATAAACTCAAATATTTCCATTCTGAAAAACATGTGTAATTGATTTAGTTATTTCATTATAAGGTTTTATACACCAACATATTTATAATTTCAGTTATTTCCTCGATGGTTGTTATTCGGTTCTACTTTTTTAGTTGAAATGCATTTGAACATAATAATTATATTTTACTTGTTTTGACTAATTTGTTTTCTGGCCTATCTTGTGCAGCAAAGCCTGGCATACATATCATCAGGCTTCAACTTCCAGATTGATATCAGCAACAATTATCTCATTAAGACCAAACCTGTGATGACTATACAAGGAATCGGCCCCAGTCTGGTCAGTATTTTTTACACTTTTCATTGATCGTGATTGGAAATCAGTTGCATTATTTGTAGATGACCTTTTTTTTTAAAAAAAAAATTTTCACTTTTATTTATGTATATGTCTTTCTCTAAGATTTTGTTAAGAGGGCTTAGGATTAAGGTTTTGTCTGTCCCTTTATAATCACATTTTTTTTAATGTGGACAGGGCGGGGTGGTCAAGGGGGTGGGAAGGTGTACTGCCATATAATAAAAGGGGCACTAGGTGACAAATGTTGAAAACCGCTGGTTTTAGCTCATTTGTTCTACTGACTGTCTAAACATTGTAACTGACACTTTTTAATCGTTCTAAAAATATTAAAGGGGTTAAAAAGGTTAAAATATATTAAATGGCAAAATTGAGAACATTGACTTTATTGCACGAGTTTGATCTCATTTGGCTCGGTCTCTTTCCGTAGAAGGGTAACCGCCTTCCGAAGTGATCACACAAAGCACGAGTTCTGTAGCTCCAGTAACGATCATCGTTGATCTCAGTAAACAGTGCACTCATGAGCTCAAGACGTATTCGTGAAAGGAAACAAGGATCCTCAGAGAAGGACATCAGCGGCTTGACCACTTAGTAACTGGGGCTTTCTCTGCATACATGTGACAACTGACCGAGGAGGCAAAAACTGTTTTAGTGGTAGCAAGAATGTGGCTATATATGATCATGCAAGGCAAAGTGTGGACACACCGAATGTCCGTTAAATTATGTAAGTGGATCAGAACGAGTCCGGAAGATACTGAACAACACAAATTTAGACTTTGCATTCTGACTTACACAGATGATTGTTCTTTGTCTCCACAGATACATGCCAGCCAGACAGAACAGTATCTCACCAACAAAAGTTTAGCTGATCCACTTGTTATCAAAGGTATGGACACGATTTGTGAACACACCGCTCTTTGTCATCTTCAATACGTTTGTCCATGTTTTCCTTTCAGTGCCACTTGAAAAATAAAAATAATAATATACAATATTGTGTCCGTGTGAATGTGTGTATGTGCGTGTGTTTGTTTGTGTGTGGGTGTGTGTGTGTGTTCGTATGTGTGAACATAAATATCAGTGTTTGTCAGATGTCATTTCGGAAATCATTTTAGTGCGTAGACATACACTTTATGGAAATAGTTGGCACCTTTCCTTTTTTCCGCGATTCGTTAGCGTTAAGATCTATGTATATTATGTGTAAACAATCTGTCTTGATTACAGAAGCCTTCAGGATCTTGTCAACAGAAGTGCAGAAGGGTTCAGAAAGTCTTGTACTGGCAAGCTTGGTGTATCGGTCATCTCTGGCAATTGGGCATTTCTACAAGGTATTATTATATAATAGAACATTACTGTAGGTGTGTCTACTTTTCCTAAGTGTTGGGACGGGGGTTGGGGGGAAAGAGGACTGGAGGTTACCGGTGAAGATGAGAGCTACGCCAGCAGTAGCCTAGCTTGTGCTTTCCAAGCCAGACAAGTCAAAGAGTTGAAAGAAAACAGAAAGAGACATCCTGGTTCTCCAGGTCTGGGTGTTGAATGGTGGCTTAGATGATCTCACACTTTTATAAATCTCTGTTTCTGTTCTAAAACAAAAATACTACCAACAGATGGGGCTCGTCAGCTGGGGACAGCAATCCACATAGAAGAAGAAGCTGTAGTCGTCTCCGTTGTTCAGTCGTTGGCTCACCGTGGACTAAGGAAAAAAGTGAGCTTAAGTAGGAGGTTTCGAACTGGAAAGCCCAGATAGTAAAGAAAGATGTCGTAGCCGAACCTGAAACACCTGAAACGATGTCACAATGAAATCCCTTCTGTAAGAAGATGACAAAGAAGATGACTGACATACATTCTTGACAAAGTCACAGGCATCACCAAACAATGAACTACAGTTGTAGGCAGCAGGCGACACAAACTGTATGTCATCGACTCCGTGCAGTCTATAAAAATATGAGAGTCTGTTAGAGCATGCGGCTTCCACTTACTAGAAATAATTGTAATCAAATTTCTCAAGGACTGGCAAGGTGATCACGATTGTCTGTATCCACTGATCTCCAGTAATATGTATCAATTCGTATTATTAAAATATAATGAGTGTAGAAAATGCTGGTGTAAAAACATTCATTTACTTTACTTAACTACTGCTACAGTAACCAGCCTACTGCATCAGCTGACACAATATGTTCAATTACTTCTTCAGTTCATTCTCAGAGTTTGCAAGGACAAGGTTGACGCTCGTTTCCTCAGTGGTGGGTTGGACCTGGAGCGACCCGTATCGTCAGGTACCCATGACTATGGGACACAAGATGAAAGCATTTTCCCGGTCTCCAAACCTATGATGAAGTTAACAGCTACACATTTGGTAAACATTACATTCTTTACCTTTCTTTCCTTTCCTGTCTCTCACTCACACGTACAACTTAATGGCTTCGACAAAACCAGTAAATATTTCAGATTAACGACTTCCAGCAGTTTGAGTGCTGGGCTTCCAATCGGTAGGCCCAGGTTCGATCTTCGCTAGGGATAGTACTTTTTTATGTGGGTTAACATCAACAAAACAGGCCAAAATGTGGCCACGGAACCAGCCATGTGATCTTAAACCTCCAAGCTCACGACCTCTCTTATGCTACAATCTGAAGGTTGTACACAACACGCAAATTGAAAGCCCGATCAGGACCACAAGAGAGGACCCAGATAGGTTTCCCATAACCAAATAAAAAATGACAGCATCACACACAGTTAGGGACAAGAAACCACAACTACTGGCACAACAAACCCTTTAAACCAGTGGTCTCCAACCACACAGACCCCCCCCCCCCCCAGAGAGAGAGGCCAAACGGTTTCTAGAGGCCTCGGAGATGTGGTTTTACAGAGGAGTGCTTGGAATACCTTGGGCAGCCATGGGGAGCAGCCGGGGGTTTTAGGAGAGGCGGGAGCCCGAGGGCGGCTTGTCACAGACATCAGAAGGAGAAAGTCATCATTGTTATGAGAAAAGGGAAAATAGAACATGTTGTGACCACTGGAAAGATCTGTGAAAGGAAGGATAGAGGAAGACGGCGAGAGAAGATGCTTGACAGTCTTGTTGCATGGCATGGAGGTGTATCGGCACACGAACTCATACATGCTGCAGGAGATCGCAGATTATTGAGAGGCATGATCGCGCACGCCAGTCGGCAAGGCACCTGATGATGATGATGATGTATAGAACTAAAAGCAAAAGATATTTTTTTTCCGAGTTAATAAGCTGTTTGTATATCCACAATAAAAATTGTAATTCATATGATAACACAGACTTATAAATTAAGGACACGTTCAGATCAAAACGTATTTCCATACTGTCTGTTTCACTTGTTACGGAATCTATTTTCCTTATTATTTTAATTAATTTTATCATGAGGGAAAGATTTGTGGCGGTCTTGCAAGGGAGCATGGGAGTCTTGACATCTACGCAAAGAGGGCATGGGAATCTTGACATATACTAAAGGGGTTGGGAGGGGGGTGGGGGGGGGCATGGGAGTATAGCCAGAAACAGTTAATGTCAGAACTGTCAAAAGTAAAGTTGCTCTTTATTGTCAATATAGACGAGATTCAATCTATTGTAAAGATTCATTTTGTTTTTCAAACTGTCCAGACTAAAGGTGAGATCAAGTTTGTCACCGACCTGCCATCTATTCAAGGTCAGCTCTATGCAGCTGTTGTTTTGAGTGCCCGGGGTAATGCCAAGATAGAAAAGATCGACGCTTCTGCTGCTCTGGTAGGTTTGCAGTCTAGTTGTTTGATTGACTGCCTCGTTGTTTAATAGATCTAGGGGCTTTTGTTAAGTACTTGATTAGGGTTGGTTAGTTAATATGTTGATTCTTTGATCGGTTGGTTGAATGAATACTTGCCTGTCTCCTCTTCTTCTTTTCTCTACTCCTGAAATGCCTTACGGCTTCATGGCAGGAAGAGATCTCTGGAACGGGCCCATCTGTTTGCTTCTATAAAGTACCTTTTAGTGTCTCTGATACTTCTGCGGTCCATCTTCTGCGTAGTCGACCCTCTGGTTCTATTACCGCTGTATCTGTCTAACATTGCTCTCTGTGGTGTCCTGTCTGCTGCCAGTGTTGTTACATGGTCAAACCATTTGATTTTTCGTATACCTGATTGTGTGGTGTATTTTGATTTGTTGTCTACTTGACTGTATGGGTTTTGTGTGTGTGTGCCTACTTCAATGCTGGTTAGTTGCTTGATTAGTTAGTAGGTTGGTTAGTTAGTTGCTTGATATATTTCTTGTTTAGTTGGTTGGTTGGTTAGTTGTAGCTTGATATATTTCTTGATAATCTAGTAGTTTGGTTAGTTAATAGCTTGATACAATTCTTGATTAGGTAGTAGGTTGGTTGGTTAGTAGCTTGATATATTGCTTGATTAGTTGGTAGGCTGGTCATATAGTAGTTTGATACATAGATTGTTTAGTTAGTATGTTGGTTAGTAAGTAGCTTGATAATTGTTTGATTAGTTATTTAGTAACTTGTTTCATCACTTGTTGGTAGGGTAGTTAGTAGCTTGATATATTGCTTTATTAGTTGGTAGGCTGGTCATTTATTAGCCTGATACATAGCTTCTTTAGTTAGTATGTTGGCTAGTTAGTAGCTTGATACAAACATTGTTTAGTTGGTAGGTTCATTAGTTAGTAGCTTGATACAAACATTGTTTAGTTGGTAGGTTGATTAGTTAGTAGCTTGATACAAACATTGTTTAGTTGGTAGGTTGATTAGTTAGTAGCATGATACAAACATTGTTTAGTTGGTAGGTTGATTAGTTAGTAGCTTGATACAAACATTGTTTAGTTGGTAGGTTGGTTAGTTAGTAACTTGATACAAACATTGTTTAGTTGGTAGGTTGATTAGTTAGTAGCATGATACAAACATTGTTTAGTTGGTAGGTTGGTTAGTTAGTAGCATGATACAAACATTGTTTAGTTGGTAGGCTGATTAGTTAGTAGCTTGATACAAACATTGTTTAGTTGGTAGGTTGATTAGTTAGTAGCTTGATACAAACATTGTTTAGTTGGTAGGTTCATTAGTTAGTAGCTTGATACAAACATTGTTTAGTTGGTAGGTTGGTTAGTTAGTAGCTTGATACAAACATTGTTTAGTTGGTAGGTTGGTTAGTTAGTAGCTTGATATACTGCTTGCGTTGTTTTCGACAGATGCATCAAAAGCCGCGCATTAAAAAAGAAAACTGTGATGGATGTTGACTTTGATCTTTATTATTTTTTCTATTTGTTTTACACTTCTAGGCAATCAAAGGTGTTATAGCCTTTGTACAAGCCTCAGATATCCCTGGAATCAACAACTGGAGGCCACTGAGTGTATATCCTGTTGGATCAGAGGTAAACGTCTCATCTGCAGCTGTCCATCTTTGTCTCACTTGCAGCTGTTCGTGTTAGTCTCACTTGCAGCTGTTTATCTTAGTCTCACTTGCAGCTGTTCGTGTTAGTCTCACTTGCAACTGTTCGTGTTAGTCTCACTTGCAACTGTTCGTGTTAGTCTCACTTGCAACTGTTTATCTTAGTCTCACTTGCAGCTGTTTATCTTAGTCTCACTTGCAGCTGTTCGTGTTAGTCTCACTTGCAACTGTTTATCTTAGTCTCACTTGCAGCTGTTTATCTTAGTCTCACTTGCAGCTGTTTATCTTAGTCTCACTTGCAGCTGTTTATCTTAGTCTCACTTGCAGCTGTTTATCTTGTTCTCACATTTAGCTGTTTATCTTAGTCTCACTTGCAGCTGTTCATGTTAGTCTCACTTGCAACTGTTTATCTTAGTCTCACTTGCAGCTGTTTATCTTATTCTCACATGCAACTGTTTATCTTAGTCTCACGTGCAGCTGTTTATCTTAGTCTCACTTGCAACTGTTTACATTAGTCTCACTTGAAGCTGTTTATTTTAGCCATACTTGCAGCTGTTTATATTGGTCTCACCTGCAGTTGTTTATCTTGGTCTCACTGGCAACTGTTTATCTTAGTCTCACTTGCAGCTGTTTATCTTGGTTTCACTTGCAGCTGTTTATCTTAGTCTCACTTGCAGCTGTTTATCTTAGTCTCATTTGCAGCTGTTTATCTTAGTCTCACTTACAGCTGTTTATCTTGGTCTCACTTGCAGCTGTTTATCTTAGTCTCACTTGCAGCTGTTTATCTTAGTCTCATTTGCAGCTGTTTATCTTAGTCTCACTTACAGCTGTTTATCTTGGTCTCACTTGCAGCTGTTTATCTTAGTCTCACTTGCAGCTGTTTATCTTAGTCTCACTTGCAGCTGTTTATCTTAGTCTCACTTGCAGCTGTTTATCTTAGTCTCACTTGCAGCTGTTTATCTTAGTCTCACTTGCAGCTGTTTATCTTAGTCTCACTTGCAACTGTTCATCTTTCTCTCACTTGCAACAGTTAATTCTGCTGTGTTGTGTTTCTGGTTTATGTGCATTGTTTTGCTAGTTGTGTTCTGTGTGTGGTGTATGTGTATTGTTGTGCTAGTTGTGTTGTGTGTGTGGTGTATATGTATTGATGAGCTAGTTTGCGTGCAAGGTTGCTCATGTGTGCTTATGTGTGTGCCTATATGTGTGTATGTAATGTTTAAACACGCTGACATACATTAGTTAGCACTCTCAGACGCAGAGGAAGAAATAAGGAGACATGTACAGATCATTGATCTCCTCCTCCAATGAAATTCATAAAGCAACATTTTCATCTCTGTCATGTATGCGCTATATCTTAGTCTTCTGCTTTGCGTTAGGTTTCGTATGCTCAAATTATACCATTAGATGGGTTGCTTCTATGAACTAGCATGTCAGTAGCAGGTCCTTCATGGTTGCCCATAGCTTTCTGTGCACACTTTGCTCTTAAGGCCAGATGTCTTTTCGAAGTCTTAGGTAGAGTGGGCAGGTCTGCAGATTGTGCTCAGGTGTTTGTGGCTCTGTTTGACAGCACACTATACGGACCTTTATTTTATGCATGTGGTAGCTGAGCCTGCAGCGTCTTGTTCGTAGACAGAAAATTGTTGTATATTGCTTTCTGTTGAGTCTAATGATGGGGTCTTGTAGGTGTTACTGTTAGTTTTTTCTCTCCACAATTCCTTGTAATTTTCTTTAATAAGTCTTCTGATTTTCGGTGATGACAATGAATTGGCATGTTGTTTCTTTTTTTTTCTCCATATTTTGCAAGTCTGTCTGCTAACTTATTTCCTGGTATCCCGCTGTGAGCCGGGGTGCACTGGAGAACGATTTGATTGTTTTCTGTAAGCCTGTTTAGCCGGCGGTTCAGTTCTCTTCCTGCGTTGTCTAGTGGGTACCTCTAAGTCGCCTAGAGGACTGACATGCAGTCACAAAGGAAAACAATGTTGCTGTTTTTAATTTTTCTTTCCTCAAGCACTTTGCCTGAATCAATAATTGCTTGCTGCTCTGTTCTGGTTTGTTGAGAGTCTTCTGGAGGGGCATGACGTTTCTACTGTAGTCCCATCTTGCAGCATGATGACCGATCCAGCTCTTTCATTTTTGTCTGCTCTCTCCAATGATCCATCGGTGTTAACGTGTGCCCATTCGGGTTTTGGATAACAGTTGTAGACATGTTTAAGGGTCTTGGCATGCAGCACTACGTCACATTCCTCAGCCTTTCTGTCAATGCCTGGAATTGTCAGGACTGTATATTTAGGCTGTAGGTCTATGCTGAATGTCTGAATCATTTCCCGTGTTAAATGATCTTTGGAAAGGATTTCATTCTCTTTTGTGCAGTACAATTTTGATAGATTGTGAAAGCTTTGTCTTTTCAGTCGGATTTTAGTTATTTGCTATTCTGTGCATAGGGTGTTGTTCATGCGTTTGAATTTTTATGTTAGGGTAAGCACCTTTTCTTCCCTTCGAAGGCTCAAGGTCTGGAGGCTAGAAGTTGCCTCCAGCTCATGGATTGGTGTGTTTCTCATACGTCCAGTGATGATTCTGAGACCAGTTTTCTGTATTTTCTCCAGTTTGTGTATTTTGGATTTGGCTGCAGTGGAGTATGCTCCCATGCCATACTACAGTTTTGCTCGTACGTGCGTGCACCCTAGCTTGTTCCAGTAGGTTTCTTCATAAGTCTGAGCCTCAGGGTAGCTTACCAATCTGGAAGCCTTGAGTTAGCCTTTTGTCGAATTTTACTTCCAAATAAGTGCGAATATCCTCTTTTGGAAGGATGTTGCCTTCTATGTACAGCTCAGCTTGTTCTGGCTTTGTGGAAAGAGAGAAGAGAGTTGAGACTGTTTTGGCCTGGTTTATTGCGACTCCCTAAGAGTCTCTCCATTTCAATGCGGTGTATGCTAATGAAGCAACTGGTCAGCTTTGTCATTTAGTTTTATCTTTTACCTTTCGTTTTACAGTTGCTGAGTTCTGGTTTTGTCGGATATGCCGGTCAACCACTTGGGGTCGTCATCGCAGGTCAGATGATTGGAAAATTTAGCGCTTGATGTATCTATGCACAAACTTATTCTCTGTATTTGTCTGTCTGTCTGTCTGTCTGTCTGTCTCTCTCTCTCTCTCTCTCTCTCTCTCTCTCTATATATATATATATATATATATATATATATATATATATATATATATATATATATATATATATATATATACACACATATATATGTATATACATTTATATATAATACATACATATATAGATACATAGATACATGCATACATACATACATACATAATATCATATATACATACATACATACACACACACACACACACACACACACACACACACACACACACACACACACACACACACACACAGACACACACACACACACACACACACACACACACACACACACACACACACACACACACACACACACACACACACACACACACACACACACACACACACACACACACACACACACACAGAGACAGACAGACAGACAGACAGACAGACAGACAGACAGACAGACAGACAGACAGACAGACAGACAGACAGACAGACAGGCAGGCAGGCAGGCAGGCAGACAGACAGACAGGCAGGCAGACAGGCAGACAGGCAGACAGGCAGACAGGCAGACAGGCAGACAGGCAGACAGGCAGACAGGCAGACAGGCAGACAGGCAGACAGGCAGACAGGCAGACAGGCAGGCAGGCAGGCAGGCAGGCAGGCAGGCAGGCAGGCAGGCAGGCAGGCAGGCAGGCAGGCAGGCAGGCAGGCAGGCAGGCAGGCAGGCAGGCAGACAGACAGACAGACAGACAGACAGACAGACAGACAGACAGACAGACAGACAGACAGACAGACAGACAGACAGACAGACAGACAGACAGACAGACAACAAGTAGCAGTCAGAGTAGCTGGTGTAATATTGGATTAGTTTGAGGTGCAGAGAGGACTGACAAAATGTCTCATTCTCTCTCCAAACCTTTCAATACATATATACTGAACAAGTGAGAAGTACAATTAGTAAAGAGGCTTGTGACGACTTCCACTTAATATTAGGTGTAGATCTATTATAGAATTCAAATGTGCAGACGACACAGTTCTCCTCTCCAACGTGTACAAGAAGAAAAGAGCACAAAGAAGAAAATCTATTTCCGAGTCTGAAACAGAAATGTCTACAATGTATACAGCACACCAGTCGCGTAATAATTATGGGTTAGGTGAACCTTGGTGCCAAGTTAGAATTTTAATATAATACTGTCTTGGTAAGAGCTTGAACCCTAGACCTAGGTAAGCAGGCGAGCATATGTCTACATATGACAGCACTGACAAAACAACGAGCGGCTTGTGGAACGGATAAGACCCATGTGCAAAGCCTCAGGATTGGTTGCTGTTGTTGTTGTTGTTGTTGTTGTTGTTGTTGTTGCAGTGTGTCAGGGGCAACAATCAAATGCAAAAACCGCTGAGTCCATAGTGCTCGCACTGCCAATTAATCATCAGGATCACCCCCGTCCGCCTCTCGCATACACCGTAGTAGTGGGAAGTGCAGGCAGGAATGGAAGATGACAATTTGACACATCAAACAGCAAAAACGCGAACACAGATAATTTATTTTACGAGCAAAAACAAAACCAAAAAGTTTACCGTTGATCACAAAATCCTTCGCAAAAGAACCCTTGTCTTTGCAATATTTCCAGCAATATCATTTAAACGGTATTTGATAGTTTTGAATGTTAGTTGCGCATTCTTTATATGGTGTTGTAGAATCACCTCTAGCACTCTTTTTACACTCACTAGTTTGTTTGACTGTTTAATGATTTCACTAATCAGTTTTACACTCAGTAGTTTGTTTGACTGTTTAATGATTTCATTAGTCAGTTTTACACTCACTAGTTTGTTTGACTGTTTAATGATTTCACTAGTCAGTTTTACACTCACTAGTTTGTTTGACTGTTTAATGATTTCATTAGTCAGTTTTACACTCACTAGTTTGTTTGACTGTTTTATGATTTCACTAGTCAGTTTTACACTCAGCAGTTTGTTTGACTGTTTAAAAGTTTCATTAGCCAGTTTTACACTCACTAGTTTGTTTGACTGCTTAAAGGTTTCACTAGTCATGTTTACACTCAGTAGTTTGTTTGACTGCTTAAAGGTTTTACTAGTCAATTTTATACTCAGTAGTTTGTATGACTGTTTAAAGGTTTCACTAGTCATTTTTATACTCAGTAGTTTGTTTGACTGTTTAAAGGTTTCATTAGCCAGTTTTACACTCACTAGTTTGTTTGACTGTTTAAAGGTTTCACTAGTCAGATTTACACTCAGTAGTTTGTTTGACTGTTTAAAGGTTTCACTAGTCACCTTGACACTAACTAGTTTGTTTGACTGTTTAAAGGTTTCACTAGTCAGTTTTACACACACTAGTTTGTTTGACTGTTTAATGGTTTCACTAGTCAATTTGACACTAACTAGTTTGTTTGATTGTTTAAAGGTTTCACTAGTTAATTTTACACTCAGTAGTTTGTTTGACTGTTTAAAGGTTTCACTAGTCAGTTTTACACTTAGTAGTTTGCCACTGCTAGTGAAAGGTCAGCTTGCGATACCTCTCAAAATCAGCGCCAGGCGGTTTGCTGTCAAATCACCTACAGTTGCATTCTAGCCTGGCACTCAGAATTATGAATTGTGTTCACAACACCTACGCCACAGACGCCATTAACTGTTGGTAGTATGTGTTGCAAGATAAAACAAATGTTAAAGTTTCATAACTTGATGTAGTAAAACTGCCATTTGCTGTTTATTGTCAGAGACCCAGACCATCGCCTTGGACGCAGCTGAGGTTGTACAAGTGCGGTATACCGAGATCAGACCCGTCATTGTTGATATCCTGGATGCTATAGCACAGAAATCGTTTTTCGAGAGACTGGGACCCTTCACTAAAGGGGACGCTAAAGGTATGACGCGTGTCTGATTATGTCTTCTCAATACTTACACACACACAAGTGGATGCTAAAGGTAGGACCCGTGTCTAAGTATGTCTTCTCAATACTTACACAAAAAGTGGATACTAAAAGTATGACCCGTGTCTAAGTATGTCTTCTTAATACTTACACAAAAAGTTGATGCTAAAGGTATGAGGCGTGTCTGATTGGGACTTCTTAATACTTACACACACAAAAGTGGATGCAAAAGGTAGGACCCGTGTCTAAGTATGTCTTCTCAATACTTACACAAAAAGTGGATACTAAAAGTATGACCCGTGTCTAAGTATGTCTTCTTAATACTTACACAAAAAGTTGATGCTAAAGGTATGAGGCGTGTCTGATTGGGACTTCTTAATACTTACACACACAAAAGTGGATGCAAAAGGTAGGACCCGTGTCTAAGTATGTCTTCTCAATACTTACACAAAAAGTGGATGCTGAAGGTATGACTCGTGTCTAATTATGTCTCCCTAATACTTACACAAAAAGTGGATACTAAAGGTATGACGCGTGTCTAATTATGTCTTCCTAATACTTACACAAAAAGTAGATGCTAAAGGTATGACGCATGTCTAATTATGTACTCTTAGTACTCACACAAAAAGTGGATGCTAATCGTATGACACGTGTTTAATTATGTCTGCTTAGTACTTACATAAAAAGTGGATGCAAAAGGTATGAGGCGTGTCTAATTATGTCTTCTTAGTACTTACACAAAAAGTGGATGCTAAAGGTATTACGCGTGTCTTATTATGTCTCCTTAGTACTTACACAAAAAGTGGATGCTAAAGGTATGACTTCTAATTACTTAAACTAAAAGTGTTTGCTAAACATGTGGCAAGTATCAAAGTATCTCTCCTAAACTTCTTCTTCTTCTTCTCTTCCACCTTGTACCTTATCGAAGTGTCGGGGGTGGCGTTGGGTGGTGTAACATTCGTTGATGAGCTCTGTCAAGAGCCGTAATAGGACATTTCTGTAGGGCTGTTTCTAATGCCATCACTCCATACTTTCCGAGGTCTTTCAGTCGCTCTATACCCGTTGGAACGTATTAATGTGGCTCGCTGTGGTAGATAGTACCAGGGCATTTTTGTTAGGTGTCCAACACACTTCATTTGCTGTTCTTTGATGACCTGTAAGACTGGCTTTATTCCTAGCATTAGTCTGATTTCGTGATTTCGTTTTCTGTTTTTCCTTAAAACTCCTGCAGCTCTTCTAAGGCATTTCATCTCTGTTATCACACTGTTACGTTCATTGGAGAATGTGAGTGTCCAGGTTTGGCACTGATTACATAGTGTTGGCCAAAAAATAGTTATAAGATTCGCTTTAGTACTCCGGGGTATCTCCTAAACACTTACACTAAATGGATTTTCTGAAGTATTAGAATGTATCGCGCCCACACACTCTCTCACACACTCTCTTATATACGTTTAACCACAAATCACCATGCGATGTGCGGATAAGTGTCACCTGTCATGTTTCACCATCTCCTAGTTTTACCAGAATCACTGATGTGGTTAGATTTGTATTTTTATCGTGTCTATAATGTCTTATTGACATCTTGAGGGATCTGAACATCAAGGAAGATTGGCTAATAAACAGCATCCTTTCTCAAAAGCTGAAACATTTTGGTTATATTAAGCGCCACGACGGACTGGAAAAAATTATAGCAAAAGGCGTGGTACCAGGAAGGAGGGGCAGAGGCCGACCGACACGAAGATGGGCACAGGATATAAGTGACTCCTTGAGTGTGAAAGTTCATGAGGCGGGAGAACTGGCAAGAGACCGAGTTTCTTACAGGCAGACTGTGATGAGAGCGACGTTCTGCAAAGTACCTGCTACATGATGATGCAGATGATAATGTCTGCTTCGTTTGCTTTTTTATCATTGTGTGATATTTTTAGTTTGTTGTTGTTGTTGTTTTTGAAATTATTTATTTGAAATACTTTTCAGCTGCGAGATAATATTTTTTCAGTTTGGCAGTGCAGTGTCGATACCCCACATGCATTATATGTACATATCTTTTTCTGAAAAAAAAAAAAAATTGAAAGGGGGTTGTAATCAAATAACCTAAACCTAATTTTTGGAGTGCCTGCCATGTGTGTGGATGTATTTGTGTGTATGTGTGTGTTTGTGTTGTGGTCGTGTAAACCGACGTGGTGTAGTGGCTAAAGCCTTATCTCGGACCCCAAGGTTGTAGATTCACACCCGTATGTATGCGTTTTTTTTTCCTTCTCCTCAAAACTGACATTAGCTCCAGGTCGACCTAGCCTAAAATGGGTTAGCAGGTATAGTCCTAGGAAGTAAAGACGCCCTACGTAATGTTGGCACATGACGCAGTGAGTGCCGATTGGTGTAAGAATAATAATGCCCAGCACTATATGTCTAATCCACCTAATGGCTTCAAAACGGGTTTCTTAACCCTTTGTGAAATGTAATTGCAGTTGCCATGGAGTCTGCCCCGCGCCGCCTGAAAGGCAGCACCCGCACAGAGGATCAGTATCACTTCCAGCTGGAGAACCAAGCAGCCACTTGCACGCCCACTGACCTCGGTGGCATGGACGTGGTCGCCACGAGCCAGTGGATCAGCGGCGTACAGGAAACTGTGGCGCAAGTGTTGGGCATTCAACAGGCCAGGTGTAGATCTGAATGTGGTGGTCCACACTTTGTCTCTGTCTGTTTCTTTGCCTGTCTGTCTCTCTGTCACCTGTCAGTCTGCCTGCTTGCCTGTCTGCCTGTCTGCCAGCCTGTTTGCCTGTCTGCCTGTCTGCCAGCCTGTTTGTAATTTATATATATATATATATATATATATATATATATATATATATATATATATATATATATATATGTCGTGAGGTGAGCAGCCAACCCTACGCAATGGACGAGTCGTGACTTTGACTTCCCTCGCGCACAGTCAAATTTCAAACTTAAACCCGTCCGGAAGGGTATATAGTCCCTCATACTGATATATACCTTTATCTGGTAATATATTCATTTCTAGACTCTCTAGTTGCTTTGATAAATCTTCATTTTCAAACTTGCAACTGTATGTTGACGATTTCTGGTAATTTATTTAGAAATTCCTGTAAACCGGTTTACTCCTTGGGCAGGAATACAGGGGACTTCTTTCCTAGAGACGCTAAGCTGGGTTTTGAAAAAAACATTCTTTCGCCTGACCCCAAACTGTCAAGACGTGTATACAGTCTATGTAGAAATTGCCGCATTCAAAGGTCCATTTCTATCTTGGAAGATTTCCTAAGCTTGGGATGATACCTCCTTAGAGATCAGGCAGACGAATCACAGTCCAGCCAACCACCACCAATCCATACCATTCTGTGCAGAAAGCGTATCCAAAAGTCCTGTATACTGTGCCACTACCTCAACATGGCAAGAGCTTGTTTGTGAGTTCCAGGACCAGTGGACAATTGCAGACACCTATGTCATCAATCCAGAAAACCAGTCTTCAAGAGCTTTGTTGGGCTCTTATGCAGTTAGTGTGTCACCACCTGTGAGACCGGCAGTGGGCATCACAGTCTCCAAGAGCTTTGGTGGGCCCCTATGCAGTTCCTGTGTCCTCGTTTGTGACAGTCAGTTTGTACCAGATCAAAGCAAGGCCCAACTACTGACTGAGTCAACTACAGTCGAATCACCATGGACTGATGGGAGCATTGACCTACGAACTGGGCTAAGTGATCTATCATTCACATTACATGCTCTCTTCCCACAGCACCTGATAAGTCTGATGATGAACTCATGTACACCTCAAGGCTAAATCTGGCTGCTTCAATCTCTGGGTTGTGTCATTGTTTCCTAAACTCAATTCACTGAACCCTTGTTCATCTATTAATTATTATATGTATATATTGTACTGATTACACGCATAAATTTTCATGGCTGACTTGGGTGTCCCTATTTCACCATTCTAACTGTCTAGCTTTGATGTTTGTGTGAGTAATAAGTATTATCTGTGTTAACATGGTTATGATAGTACACTATCATAACCTGGGGGCTATCTTTTTATAGTAGTGGGGGTGTCCAGGTGAGTGTGCATAGGAATAATATATATTTTGTAGTGCCAAAACTTGAGTTGCTCTACTCCTGAAATAAGTTGAGCGTATATTGGCCACGGGGCATCCCTTAGACCAATGCGAGCCAACGACTCAACATAATTATTTCAGAGTGCTGTTGGTTCTTAAGGAGAAATCCTTAAATCAGGCACGCGACAGGAGCGATATGTGACAATAAATACACACACACACACACACACACACACACACACACACACACACACACACACATATATATATATATATATATATATATATATATATATATATATATATATATATATTTCAGTAGGGGTTTGAAATATAAGTTTTTGGAAAGGCTGAATGTAACGAATTTAACATGGGTTTGTGTGCCCAGGGTGTGGCCCATTGAAAATAGAGACCTTTTGCTCTGAAACTGCATATTTCTATGAAAGTTTTTATATGCAGCTGTTTCTGTATAGCCCTGTCCATAAAACTTTGTTTTTATATAAATTTCTGAATTTTGTTTACTGTTTTTATATAGCTTTGTCTACGTAACTTTCTCTGTGAGTCTATTTCTGACTAGCTATTGTTGTAATTGTTTCTGTTCAACTATTCCAATGTAACTGTTTCTGTTTACTGTTTCCGTGCTTCTGTTTCTATGTTACAATTGTGTGTTAAAATTGCTTTTCACATTGTTTGTATCTTTATAGCCGTTTCCATGTAACAGTTTCTGCATAAATGTTTCTATGTAACAGTTTTTGTATAACTGTTTGTAAACATCTGTTTCAATGTAAATGTAGCCATATACATATTTCGATGTAATTGTTTATATGCTAAAACTTCCATCGAATGGTTTCCATAACTAAATTGCCATGTCGCTGTTTTTATATATCTATTTATATGAAACCGTTTAAACAGTGTGAAGGTTGAGACGCAGAGGCTAGGGGGTGCATTTGGTTCCAAAATTGTGTACAACATGCCAGTGGCAGGAATGGCAGCTGTGGCAGCACACAAAGTCAAGAGGTAAGGGTTCCACTGCTGTTTTACAATCTATCTGTTTCATGCTTTCGTAGGTAGAATGAGACCTAGATAAGCGCGCCCAATACTCAACAGTTTTAAACAAAAAGTGTGGTCGTTCTTTTTTTCGCAGGTATGGAAATGTTACAGATTAAATTATGCTAGCACAGAGGGTCGTAGCAGTATTGTCGTGCTAGAGTTACAATAAAACGGCTGATACAAACTTATACGGAGAGAAGGTCAAGGTCTTTGCCCAGGATATATATATATATAAATGGCAGCCTTCGTGGTTTAGTGTCTAGATGCTCGCCTGCCGCTCAGAAGGTCGTGGGTTCAGGTGTTGACAGTTGCCGGGCGTTTCTCAAAATTGACCTAGGCTCCCAGGTAGACTTAGCCTTGAATGGGTACCAGGTGCAGTACTGGGAAGCAAATGCGGGCGGCGTGATGCTGACCACATCACCGACCAAGTGCGGTTTTTTCTATAAAATATAGGTCTAGCCATATATACCCAATAATCATAAAGGCTTGGGAAAGGGTTCTTCACTTATATATATATATATAACTGTAAATCTTGCATGCAGTTGATATCATCGAAAATATAAAAATTTACTAGCCGGGTTCACAAATGAATTGTAAATGTATCAACTAGGGCTGCACGAAATAGTCATTTTCACTATTCAGCCTGATACAAATAAAGGGACCAGCTATTCGGCCGAATACGAATACGAATGGTGTATCATCATCATCAGGTGCCTTGCCGACTGGCGTGGGCGATTATGCCTCGCCACAATCTGCGATCTCCTGCAGCATGTATTATTTTGTGCACTGACACACCTCTATGACATGCAACAAGACTTCCAGTGGTTACCACATGTTCCAGTTTCAATCTCCTCATTACATGGCTGAAAAATTGACGACTGTCTCCTTCTAATGTCTGTGATTAGTTGTCTTCGGGCTCCCGCTTTTTTCAAAACCTCTTCGTTGCTTTTTTTTTTTTTTTTTTAAGAGCTGTCCAAGGAATTTATGCATTGTTCTGTAAAATCACATCTCTGAGGCCTCAAGAAATTGTTTGGCCTGCCTACCGATTGTCCAGGACTCAGGACGCATTGCCTTTAAATATAAGTGCTTACTTGACGAGGATAACAGTTACTATTGTAGAGACAACATTTTCCACTTTAAAATTTCAGCCAAAATGTAATCACCTTACTTATCGCTGTACCTTCACGAATACAGATGGAGGATCGCTCGCACCTCAAGATAAATACAGACAATTTTGAGCACGCTGTGGTTGGCATTTAATGCAGTATGATACACTTTGACTGTGAACCAAGGGAAAAAACTCTTTTCCACAGTGGCAAGGAAAGACAATTTAAATATTAAATTGTAAGCATCTTTATGCCTTCTTTAATAATCTAACAATTTCTAGTCGACTTTTCTTGGTTTCCGATGCGGCACCCCTGGCATACACACCCAGTTTGAGAACTTCTGCTGTAAAGCCTCGGTCCAATTAGCAAGCAAAGACCTTGCCAGCTGCTGTACCACGCAACCGGGTAGCAGTTTCCCCCGCCACGACAGACTTAGGCAACAGTAGCTATTGTATCTTTGAGAGAGTTATTTCAGTCCATCTCAGTGTATGCAAAACGGGTGTAAGGTAACAATATTCGAATTCAGCCCGATCGCAAGTATTCGGCTGAATACCGAATAGTTATTAGGCCCACTTTTAGGCTCCGAAACGAATACGATTCGGTACAGCCCTAGTATCAACAATTGACGCTACTGCATTAACTCTTTGAGTCCCAAAGAACGCTTTATACGTTCATAGGTTCCTACCTAGAAGCCCAATGAACGCATGATGCGCCGATTTTATGACTCTCTTTAATACCCCCTGGGCCTGTGATGCAAAACCCCCTGGGACTCTAAGAGTTAACTGAATTGTTACATGTGCCAAGACTCTGTCCCCAGTAGCCAACGAAGAGTTCCTATATTGAAGTTGCCAGTTAACAACCACATTGTGTGTGTGTGTTTTTTTTTCACCTGTATGTTGAAAACCGTCTAGATCAGTTGTTCTCAATCCGTGGGTCGGGACCCTTTTTGGGGTCGAACGACACTTTCTCGCGTGACGCCAAAGACCATCGCAAAACACATATTTACTGAAGCTATGAAGTAGCACCGAATATAATTGTATGGGTTGGGGTCGTTAGAGCATGAAAAATTGCATTGAATATTCGCGGCAAAAGGAAGGTTGAGAACCAGTAATCTAGATAGATCTTCTGTTCATTTCGCCGCCGTGTCAGTCTCTCACAGTGTGGTTTCTCGGGTTGTTCTCTTTCACTGTTCACTTGAGTTCATAGAAAATCCCAGTTACGTCCAGAATCTGAGTATTTATCAAGCTTTGCAAGCTAGTCAAGCTGATAAAACTGATCGTCGTCGTCGCCATCATCATCGTCATCATCATCATCATCATCATCATAGTCATTATCGTCATCATCATCATTGTCGTCATCACATCATCATCCTACTCTTTTTACTCCCTACCAACATCATCGTCATCAGCATCATCTTTCCCCGTCATCGTTGTCTTCATGATTTTTATCCAGTTGTGCCCTTATGTATCGTATTTGCCTCGCTGTTCTTTCCTCGATTACATTCTATCCTCTGCAACCCGTTCAAAGTCATTGATGGAATTCAATCAATCAGCTTTGGCCTCTGTCATCAACATTCGTTTCAAGGTTTCTTTTGAACGTCGGTGTTTCCCCAGGAAATGTATTTCCCATTACAGTGATTTCTTGCTATTCTTTGCTCATTTATTTCCATGACACGTTCAGTACAACAGTTGATACCAGTAATCAAGATATTTCTTCATTTTTCTCAAATTCAATTTCGCCATTTTTATCAGTCAAATACCCGAACACAAGACAAAATATGTAAATATTATACGTGGCGATGTCACGATACATGTTTCTGCATTTGATTGGTTTGAACAGGAGACTCGTAGTTAATAAAGACTGGTCGAACCCTTTGGTTTTACTTCTGTGCCGATCTAGTGAACTTTATAGTCAAGCGTTGCTTTTTGTTAAATTGCTCAGTCATTTGTAGCATGTTAATTTATTACATCTCAATGAATAAAATCTCAGTCTATAACATCTCTGTTTATAACATCTCAGTTATTGCATATCTGTCTATAACATCTCTGTTTATAACATCTCAGTTATTGCATATCTGTCTATAACATCTCTGTTTATAACATCTCAGTGTATAACTTCTCAGTTCATAATATCTCAATGTATAACATCTCAGTCTATAACATCTCTGTTTATGACATCTCAGTCTATAACATCTCTGTTTATAACATCTCAGTGTATAACTTCTCAGTTCATAATATCTCAATGTCTAACATCTCAGTGTATAACTTCTCAGCTCAAAATATCTCAATGTATAACATCTCAGTGTATAACTTCTCAGTTCAAAATATCTCAATGTATAACATCTCAGTCTATAACATCTCTGTTTATAACATCTCAGTTATTGCATATCTGTCTATAACATCTCTGTTTATAACATCTCAGTGTATAACTTCTCAGTTCAAAATATCTCAATGTATAACATCTCTGTCTATAACATCTCAGTTTATAACATCTCTGTTATAGCATCTAAGTTTATATTATCTCAGTTTAAAGCATCTGCTCTTGGAATCTGAAAAATCTTTAAATAGAAAGGCTGGGTGGCAGCTGAGATAAATGGTTTCTGAGATATAATGTTATGCGTACCTGCCAGTCAGAATATCTACCAAAGCAAGATTTTGAGAGTAGACGATTATGCTCCAATAGAACAATAGAAAATTGCTGTTTGAACTCCGGCCTAATGGGGAGTGGAAGTTCGCGGGCTTACCAATGACACTGTGAAAAGTTAAATATTTCTGTCCAGATTTTACTAACGCGAATTTTCCACTTCTGGACAAGGAGTTCAAACGTTGCGTCGCCCAAAGAGTGCTGGTGCTATACCGTCAGCTGTCTAATCCATGTGGAATGTTGTTTCTTTTTCCGTGGAAGCTGAGACGGCTCTGTGTTATGAGCTGCACTAAAAATGACTGGTGACCGTTTATGTTTAGAATGGGGTGTACTGGTGCAGCAATGCCTGCAGCATGATTGGTATGGAAACTGACTGCTTGCATCAACAATGAGCTGAAATTCTAGTGTTGATATTTAAATTTGCTTGTGCGAGCTTCGACATTTTGCTGGGGCTGACACATTTTTCACTAGTTTTGAACGGGACAGCGGATGATATTGTGTGTGATTTGCACTGGTACAGAAACGGAGCGTTGATGATGCTACCTGTCAGCAATGAAACCAGAATCTCAACTACAGCCTATAAGAACAAGAAAACTTTACTGATTTAAAAATAACGTAAACATTTATGAATGCCATCAGGGTTAAAACCATAAGTGGTGAAGACGAGTCAGAGAGAGAGAGAGAGAGAGAGAGAGAGAGAGAGGGGGGGGGGAGAGAAGGGCAGGTGGAGGACAACATAGAACTAAAATGTGAACTTACACTTATTTTCGTATTTGTGTCTACAAAGTATGCTTTGTTCATACAGAACAATACATAGTTTGCGCATAGGGTAAGAATACAACAGCATGGATGGCAAACATATATATACTAATTTATGTAATGCATACATCGACATACGCTCATAATTACACACACTCATCGATACACTTACACGCACAGACACACATACATACACTCATACACACATGCATACACACGCAGATATGCATACTCAGAGAGAGAGAAAGAGAGAGAGAGAGAAAGAGAGACATATAGTCTGATATTGAGAGAGAGAACGAGACATAGAGAGAGAGAGAGAGAGAGAGAGAGAGAGAGAGACATATAGTCTGATATTGAGAGAGAGAGAACGAGACATAGAGAGAGAGAGAGACAGAGAGAGACATATAGTCTGATATTGAGAGAGAGAGAACGAGACATAGAGAGAGAGAGAGAGAGAGAGAGAGAGAGAGAGAGAGAGAGAGGCAGAGAGAGTCAGAGAGAGCAGACAAAGTATTCTAGATTCTCAAAACCTAATACCAAGAGTGTATCTTGAGAATTTGTATTTTTCACACACACACACACACACACACTTGCAGATATTTTATGCTTCATATTTCCTAGAGATGAAATATTACGCTTAACTGGCATACGGTGTGTTGGGAAATGAACAGACAGAAAGGCTGGCTGACAAAGCACAACTTGGAGGAATACTGATGCATGATAAAGCAAACGCGGTTTTACGGGAGCACGTTTTCAAATCAGAAATTCAAATGGATCGTCAAAGTCTCGTGGATGTTGTGCAGCGAGAAGTGACCACAGGATCTGGCCGAGACTCGACTTTCAGAGGAAAGCGAAGGCGGAAATATAATCAACTTGCTACTGGCACCACTGGTATCGGGACTTTGCGCTGGCTGCTGAAAATGGGGTTGCAGCGCTTGTGAGAATGCTGTGATGTTGGTTCTTGAATCAGCTTATCACAGCTCTCACGCTTAATTAAAATTAGTTTACACAAAGTAAACTACCAAAGAAAAATATGATGATATTGATTCCCTTTCTGATCCATGTAACCACAGGCCTGTTACTCTTACCATGGATCTCAAGACCAACATGCAGTTCCAAGGAAAGCGAGAAGGATACTACTACGAGTATGAGGTGAGGAAAGTATGAGGCGTGCATGTAACGGTTGTAATGGCCGGTTTTACTGTTCACTGCAAAAGAGAAGTGCATTATTATACTGTTTTTTACTACTGTTCACTATTTATTACAAGTACACCACTTGGTTTATGTATCGTCTGACACGTTACGCTTGTTAAAATTATTAATATAGGGAAAATAACCATCGCTGCATGCTTACGACACATATGAATAAACTGTAACATACAAAAGCTGCAAGTAATATTACTGTGATAGTAGCTGCGAACTCATAGTCAACAGCGAAGCGACGAGGACGAAAATATCACGTGTTACTATCTTCATTGTAATCATTACCTGATAACGCGTATTCACGTGAACTGATCATGTCTTGCAAAGAACTAAAACTATTTATCGCCAGATGGTTAAAAAAAAGATAAAGAGTAAAGATCCTTAGTCACGCCCTTAGGCGCATCGGGCATATGGAAAGAGCGCCCATATTTTTTCAGACCATCGGCACTAGGTAGGTAATGTTGTCAGCATTAAACCTGCCGTCTTTACTTCCCCAGGACAGCCATTATGGTACCCATTTGAGGCTGGGACGACCTGCGACGCCCTATACCACGATACAAATCCACGCAGCCAGCAGTGGCTTTCGATTGCGGTACGTTGGAATTACGAATCGGCCTCGCAAAGCATAAGCCACGGACGCCGCATCGTCAGACGATGGTCGAGATCAAAGTAAAGCGGCCTGCTGATACATCTTGCGCAACTGGAACCGAGCACGAAAACTTTGGATTACACACTACATTTGCCTCTACAAAGCCACAGATTTCATCCATGTAGGGGAAGAATACACTGTCACCTTGACAAAATCTCGTTTAGCAGCAACAATCATTGTCATCATCATCATCATCATCATCATCATCATCATCATCATCATCATCATCATCATCATCATCATCAGGGGCCTTGCCGTCTGGCGTGGGCGATCATGCCTCTCCCCATTATGCGATCTGCTGCAGCGTGTATCGGTTCCTGTGCCGACACACCTCCATACCATGCAACAAGATTGTCAAGAATCTTCTGTCGTTGTCTTCCTCTATCTCTCCTTCCACAGATCTTTCCAGTGGTCACAACATGTTCTATTTTCCCTCTTCTCATAACATGTCGGCAATCATTGTATCCTTTTTTCTTCCTTTAACCCTCGACCAGGTCGGATTTGATGACGACGGAAAGCTGCTGGCCATTATTGCAACTGCATATGGGGATGGAGGGGCAGAGTTCCAAATTCCAGAGAGCAATGAGCTCACTGAAGATTACGTGGACAATGGTCAGTACTTAAACGATAATATGTTCAATCTAAACACAAGTTCTTTCAAAATCCGCGTCCCCTGTTATGTGTCGTAAAGGGCTTGTAATCAATTTATAAATGCTTCCAGTGTGGGTTCGGTGTCCTATTGTAGGTCAAACCAGAACAGACCCACTGCCTCGTCATCAAGCATGTCGTAAGATTCTTCTAATTAGGTGACTTCTTCGACGTCTGAGGGGCAAGGAACGAAAAGTCTGTATTTAAAAAAAAAGTTAGATCTGTAAAACGGATATGCGTGCAAGTAACTTTCAGGTTCTGGAAAAAGACCAAAGTCCAGGGTGGACGAACACCCAGAACTTTCCGCCGGAGTTTACAGTCCCTAAACGTGAAAAAGATGAGGAAGAATGCCTAACTGCCTTGGTTTCCTCACTGCCATGGGTTAAAGCTATAGCTTTGGATTCCTCAGTGCCATGGGTTAAAGCTATTAGCCTTGGATTCCTCACTGCCATGGGTTAAAGCTATGAGCCTTGGATTCCTCACTGCCATGGGTTAAAGCTATGAGCCTTGGATTCCTCACTGCCATGGGTTAAGGCTGTGAGCCTTGGAACACTGATGTCTATGTTAACAGGGTATCCAAGATCCACCGATGTGTCCAGAATGCCGTAAATCAGATCATAAGTCAGATTAACAGCATGCAACAGCGCCAAATGGAAATTGCGAGACAAGATAACGAGAAATGTGTCAGATATCTATCAAGAGTTTCATGCGAACAAATGGTGAACTAAGACGAAAGCTAATATTTTTATAGTCGACCACTTATTAAAGACTTTCGGCTAAGTTCATCCGTCTTTATCTTTGGAACCGCTAAGTTACATACCAGATATTTAAGATCATTCTGCTTTTCGAATTACTATTTCACAACCTTGCATTTTAAAAATGTGTCTTGGTGTAGGTGCTTCAGCACAGGGGCCGCAACATTGGTGCTTATTCTCCTTGAAACTCCCCTCCCCCGTCCTTGATTGTTTATAGCAGCTGAGGCTCCCCAACCCATACATTTAGAATATTTACAAAGTAGATCAACTTGGATATGTTGAAATAGCTGGCGGCTCGAGGACAGCTTATCACAAATATCAGAAAAAGACAGTCATCATAGTTTTGGTGATGGTGTGAGAAAAAGGAAACTGGAACATCCTGTGACCACTGGAAAGATCTGTGGAAAAAGAGACAGAGGAAGACAGCGATAGAAGATTCTTGACACAGTCTTTTTTCGTGGCGTTGAAGGGTGTTAGCACACGAACCGATACTCACAGTTAAGCGGATTGTCGAGAGGCATATTCGCTAACGCTGGTTGGCAATGCACTTGATGATTATAAGGGAGGTCAGTACCCTTCTGTGATCCCCAGCCAACTATAGACATTCTCTGCTCAAGTAATCACTTGTATATTTTACATTATTTCGAAAAAATCATTATCTTTATTTACCATTTATCATTTACCAACAACAACAAAACTGTCAAAGACCCTTTTCCAGACCATTCAAGCATACTGGAAATATTTAATGGTATATCTATATTTTATAGACAGCTTGGCACTCGGTGGTTGATGTGGACAACATCACACCTGTAGACTTTATTTCCCATGACTTTAACTGGTACCCATTAAAGATTGTTTAGAAAATGGGGTGAGTACCTTTCTCTCTCCCCCCCCCCCCCCTTACCCCCATTCCCGAGGGTTTCGCAGCCCCATTGTGGGGAAAACAAGAATAAACCCACTGCCTCGCTTACTAGCATGTCTTAGGAGTTGACTGATTTAGAGCTTTCCTGGACGTCGGCGTGCATCTTGCCGAGCGGCAATGAACAAACAACTGCACACAAATAAGCCAGTAAAACGGAGAACAAACAACTGCACACAAATAAGCCAGTAAAACTGACGTACACGCAAAACTCAAGTCCTGGCATAAAGCCAAAGTCAAAATGGACGAACAACCAGGACTTTCCAGGACCACTTTCTACACTTTGTGAAGAGTCCCAATACGGGATTCACTTTTTCGTTGTCAGGGCCCTAATATAACCTAACAGTTGTACATGGTGTCTAGAACCTGCAACCGCGTGATTCTCACCCCAAATGGTGGCACTTTGTGTCACCGAGTGTTTGTCACTCGTTGTGCGGTCCCGGTGACGTGGAACGTCAGTCACTCTCTGTGTGAAGTCTGCTTTCATCCAGAGCTAGCCACACAGTTGATAGACCCATAGTCACCCGATGTTTGACGTAGCAAACTGACATTGCCCAGTGGGTAAACATATATATATATATATATATACATACATCAGCAGGAATTTGAACTTGGTGTCACTGTTTCCGATAGGTCCAGTTTCTCTAAATTCGGATTTACTTCAAGTTGAACACATATAGCTCATACAGTGGATAACTCTTTTACAGAAGTTGATATTTTCTCTTAATGAGGCAAAGTACTGCTCAAATAATGTAGAGTTTACAGTAAACTTAGAAACAAAGCACATGTCGATGTATAAACAACAAAAATATACCACTTGTCATCTGTTTCCAAAGCTTACTTCTGTCCAAACTGGTCCTGGACCTTCCAGCCATGCAAGACCAACAAGCCTGTGATCACACCTATGAGAGCTGTAGGTAAGTACATGTGTGTGTGTGTGTGTGCTTCTGATCACACCTTTGTGAGCTGTAGGTAAGTACATGTGTGTGTGTGTGTGTGTGTGTGTGTGTGTGCCTGTGATCACACCTATGTGAGCTGTAGGTAAGTACATGTGTGTGTGTGTGCCTGTGATCACACCTATGTGATCTGTAGGTAAGTACATGTGTGTGTGTGTGCCTGTGATCACACCTATGAGAGCTCCAGGTTACTGCATGTGTGTGTGTGTGTGTGTGTGTGTGTGTGTGTGTGTGCCTGTGATCACACCTATGAGAGCTGTAGGTCAGTGCATGTGTGCGTGTGTGCACGTGTTCACACCTATGAGAGCTGTAGGTTAGTGCATGTGTGTGTGTGTGTGTGTGCCTGTGATCACACCTATGTGAGCTGTAGGTAAGTACATGTGTGTGTGTGCCTGTGATCACACCTATGTGAGCTGTAGGTAAGTACATGTGTGTGTGTGCCTGTGATCACACCTATGAGAGCTCCAGGTTACTGCATGTGTGTGTGTGTGTGTGTGTGTGTGATTGTGATCACACCTATGAGAGCTGTAGGTCAGTGCATGTGTGCGTGTGCGTGTGTGCACGTGAACACACCTATGACAGCTGTAGGTGTGTGTGTGTGTGTGTGTGTGTGTGTGTGTGTGTGTGCTTCTGATCACACCTATGTGAGCTGTAGGTAAGTACATGTGTGTGTGTGTGTGCCTGTGATCACACCTATGTGAGCTGTAGGTAAGTACATGTGTGTGTGTGTGTGCCTGTGATCACACCTATGTGAGCTGTAGGTAAGTACATGTGTGTGTGT